TCCCAAAATCCCAGAGCTGCTCCAAAATCACATAGCTGGTCCCAAAATCCCACAGCTGCTCCCAAAATCCCAGAGCTGGTCCAAAATCCCACAGCTGCTCCCAAAATCCCAGAGCTGGTCCAAAATCCCACAGCTGCTCCCAAAATCCCAGAGCTGGTCCAAAATCCCACAGCTGCTCCCAAAATCCCAGAGCTGGTCCAAAATCCCACAGCTGCTCCCAAAATCCCAGAGCTGGTCCAAAATCCCACAGCTGCTCCCAAAAAAAACACACAGCTGGTCCCAAAATCCCATAGCTGGTCCAAAATCCCATAGCTGCTTCCAAAAACCCTACAGCCGATCCCAAAATCCCACAGGTGCTCCCAAAAAAACCACACAGCTGCTCCCAAAATCCCACAGCTGCTCCCAAAATCCCAGAGCTGCTCCAAAATCCCACAGCTGCTTCCAAAAACCCTACAGCTGATCCCAAAATCCCATAGCTGGTCCCAAAAAACCCACACAGCTGATCCCAAAATCCCACAGCTGGTCCCAAAAATCCCACAGCTGCTACCAAAATCCCATAGCTGGTCCCAAAAAAACCACAGCTGGTCCCAAAATCCCACAGCTGGTCCCAAAATCCCATAGCTGCTCCAAAATCCCACAGCTGGTCCCAAAAAAACCACACAGCTGATCCCAAAATCCCATAGCTGATCCCAAAAATCCCACAGCTGATCCCAAAATCACATAGCTGCTCCCAAAAAAACCCCACAGCTGATCCCAAAATCCCACACCTGATCCCAAAAACCCCACAGCTGATCCCAAAATCCCACAGCAGCTCCCAAAATCCCATAGCTGGTCCCAAAAAAACCACAGAGCTGCTCCCAAAATCCCATAGCTGCTCCCAAAAAAACCCTACAGCTGATCCCAAAATCCCACACCTGATCCCAAAAACCCCACAGCTGATCCCAAAATCCCACAGCAGCTCCCAAAATCCCATAGCTGGTCCCAAAAAAACCACAGAGCTGCTCCCAAAATCCCATAGCTGCTCCCAAAAAAACCCTACAGCTGATCCCAAAATCCCACAGCTGATCCCAAAAATCCCACAGCTGTTCCCAAAATCCCACAGTTCTTCCCAAAAATCCCGCAGCTCGGGGCAGTTTTGGGGTAAAAGGGAATTTGTTCAGTGGTTTTGGTTGAATTCCCAAAGGTGCCAAACGCTCCCAGTTCCATCCCAGCCCCATCCCAGTCACCCAGTGGGGGCCGGGACCAGCAGGTACAGGACCTCTCCCAGGATTTGGGATTTTTGGGATGAACACTGGGTTTTCCCAGGATTTGGGGTATTTGGGATACAGGTGCAGGGTTTTCCCAGGATTTGGGTTTTTTGGGATACAGGGATGCAGGGTGTCCCAGGATTTGGGGTGTTTGGGATACAGGGATGCAGGGTGTCCCAGGATTTGGGGTGTTTGGGATACAGGGATGCAGGGTGTCCCAGGATTTGGGATTTTTGGGATGAACACTGGGTTTTCCCAGGATTTGGGGTATTTGGGATACAGGTGCAGGGTTTTCCCAGGATTTGGGTTTTTTGGGATACAGGGATGCAGGGTGTCCCAGGATTTGGGGTGTTTGGGATACAGGGATGCAGGGTGTCCCAGGATTTGGGGTTTTTGGGAGGAGTGGCACTCACAGCGTGTTCATGTTGCGGATGGCCCGGCGGGACATGATGGCGTCGGTGACGGCCTTCTTGAACTGCCTGGAGCAGAGCGGGATCGGGATCGGGATGGGGTCAGGATCGGGATGGGGTCAGGATTGGGATGGGGTCAGGATTGGGATTGGGTCAGGATTGGGATGGGGTCAGGATTGGGATGGGGTCAGGATCGGGATGGGATTGGGATCGGGATCTGGGTGGGATTGGGATGGGATCAGGATTGGGATCAGGATGGCATCACGATCAGGGTCAGGATGGGATCAGGATCAGGATCAGGATCAGGACTGGGATCGGGATCAGGACGGGATCAGGATCAGGACTGGGATCAGGATCAGGACGGGATCAGGATCAGGACTGGGATCAGGACCGGGATCAGGACTGGGATAGGGATCAGGATGGGATCAGGACTGGGATCAGGATGGGATCAGGATGGGATCAGGATGGGATCAGGATGGGATCAGGACTGGATCGGGATCAGGACGGGATCAGGATCAGGACTGGGATCAGGATCAGGATCAGGTTCAGGACTGGGATCAGGATCAGGATCAGGACTAGGATCAGGACTGGGATCAGGACCGGGATCACAGCCGCGCGTCCCCGGGCCGAGGGCCTCACCTCATGGCCAGGTACATGGGGCGGATGGCGAAGAGCGGGAAGGTGTGCACCTTGATCATGATGGTCATGAAGGCCATGTAGAGCAGCACCTTGATCAGCCCTGCGGGGACACCGGGCGCGCTGGGGACAGCCGGGGACCAGGAGGGACCCCAAAGCCACCTGCGCCAATTCTGGGACAGCTGGGGCGACAGGGGGGGCCCCAAAGCCACCTGCGCCAATTCTGGGACAGCTGGGGCGACAGGGGGGGCCCCAAAGCCACCTGCGCCAATTCTGGGACAGCTGGGGCGACAGGGGGGGCCCCAAAGCCACCTGCGCCAATTCTGGGACAGCTGGGGCGACAGGGGGGGCCCCAAAGCCACCTGCGCCAATTCTGGGACAGCTGGGGCGACAGGGGGGGCCCCAAAGCCACCTGCGCCAATTCTGGGACAGCTGGGGCGACAGGGGGGGCCCCAAAGCCACCTGCGCCAATTCTGGGACAGCTGGGGCGACAGGGGGGGCCCCAAAGCCACCTGCGCCAATTCTGGGACAGCTGGGGCGACAGGGGGGGCCCCAAAGCCACCTGCGCCAATTCTGGGACAGCTGGGGCGACAGGGGGGGCCCCAAAGCCACCTGCGCCAATTCTGGGACAGCTGGGGCGACAGGGGGGGCCCCAAAGCCACCTGCGCCAATTCTGGGACAGCTGGGGGACCAGGAGGGACCCCAAAGCCACCTGCGCCAATTCTGGGACAGCTGGGGGACAGGGTGGGACCCCAAAGCCACCTGGGCTAATTTTGGGACAGCTTGGGTGACAAGGTGGGACCCCAAAGCCACCTGGGCTAATTCTGGGACAGCTGGGGGACCAGGAGGGACCCCAAAGCCACCTGGGCCAGCTCTGGGACAGCTCAGGTGACCAGGGGGGGCCCCAAAGCCACCTGGGCTAATTCTGGGACAGCTGGGGGACAGGGTGGGACCCCAAAGCCACCTGGGCTAATTCTGGGACAGTTGAGGTGCCCAGTGGAGCAAGTCTCAGTTGACCAACCAAGGCCAGTTGAGCACCACCACCACTTCCAAGTCTTCATGGATGACCCAAGCCCCGCTGAACACCAAAACTTTGAGTGTTCATTGACCAACCCAGACCAGCCAAGCACCACCAACACTTTGAGTTTTGGTTGACCACCAAGACCAGCTGACCACTTTGAGTCTCCGTTAATGAACAAAAACCCATTGGAAACCAAGACTTTGAGTCTTTGTTGGTCAACCAAGACCAGTTGAACACCAAGACTTTGACTCTTCGTTGACCGACGATCAACTGAGCCCCACCAAGACTTTGACTCTTCGTTGACCGACGATCAACTGAGCCCCACCAAGACTTTGACTCTTCGTTGACCGACGATCAACTGAGCCCCACCAAGACTTTGACTCTTCGTTGACCAATGAAGATCAACCAAGCACCACCAAGACTTCAGCTCTTCTTAGACCAACCAAGGCCACCTGAACACCCCCAACACTCCAACTCCTCGTTAACCGACGCCTAATTGAGCCCCCCAGGCCCCCCAAACCGCCGCGGTACCGGTGAAGAGCTCGGTGTAGAGCATGAACACGGCCTTGTTGTCCCAGGGGTTCTCGTTCTGCAGGTCGACGGAGTGCAGCACGTACTTGATGAAGATGGTCAGCACCATGGTCATCAGGATGGCGTACTGGGGGGGCGACAGGTGCCACGTGGGACGTCCCGCCCCCGCGGGGGCCCCGGGGACCCCCTGGGACCCCCCACCCACCTCGAAGCCGAAGACCAGCTGGACGGAGGCGCCGCGGGTCGTTGGTCAACCATCAACTGAGCCCCACCAAGACTTTGACTCTTCGTTGACCGACGATCAACTGAGCCCCACCAAGACTTTGACTCTTCGTTGACCGACGATCAACTGAGCCCCACCAAGACTTTGACTCTTCGTTGACCAATGAAGATCAACCAAGCACCACCAAGACTTCAGCTCTTCTTAGACCAACCAAGGCCACCTGAACACCCCCAACACTCCAACTCCTCGTTAACCGACGCCTAATTGAGCCCCCCAGGCCCCCCAAACCGCCGCGGTACCGGTGAAGAGCTCGGTGTAGAGCATGAACACGGCCTTGTTGTCCCAGGGGTTCTCGTTCTGCAGGTCGACGGAGTGCAGCACGTACTTGATGAAGATGGTCAGCACCATGGTCATCAGGATGGCGTACTGGGGGGGCGACAGGTGCCACGTGGGACGTCCCGCCCCCGCGGGGGCCCCGGGGACCCCCTGGGACCCCCCACCCACCTCGAAGCCGAAGACCAGCTGGACGGAGGCGCCGCGGGTCAGGATGCTGTGGTAGGCATGGCTGACGAAGAGGAAGTCCAGGATTCCCAGCAGGAACATCAGGGCTGGGAAAAGACCCCGAAAAATGAAGGGGTCCCACCGTGGGGAGCAGCTCTGGGATGGGGGGTCCTACACCCCACCACTAACGAGGAGCTTAATTAGCAGATCTCTCCACTCCCAGCCACTCCTTGAAGCTTCCCACCCCCCAAAACCCCAAAATCCCTTCAAAATTCCATCAAAATTCCTTCAAAATTCCTTCAAAATTCCATCAAAATTCCTTCAAAATTCCATCAAAATTCCTTCCAAAATTGGTTTATGCATCCCCAAATCCCATTGTTCTGATTTTGGGAATTACATCCCCAAATCCCATTTTTCGATTTTGGGAAGTACATCCCCAAATCCCATTTTTCCGATTTTGGGAAGTACATCCCCAAATCCCATTTTCCTGATTTTGGGAATTGCATCCCCAAATCCCATTTTTCCACCCCATTCTGCCATGGATCCGATCCTTGTTTTCCCTCCACGGAGCTCGTTAACCCCCCCCAGCCACCCCCTCGTTAACGAGCCGCTGCTGATTAGGGTAATTGGGGTTATCAGGCCCCAGCACGCTCGGCTGCCCCGGGCAGTTCCCCAAAAATATGCAAATGAGGAGCACTCACAGACGATTCGGAAGTGGAAGAGCCACGAGATGTTGGGGCTCCTCTCCATCTGGGCAGGGGAGGAAAATTCAGTTTTTCACTTAGAAAATGGGGTTTGGGTTGATTTTGGGCTGGTCTGGGGGGGGGTTGGGTTAATTTTGGGTTGGTTTGGGTTAATTTTGGGTTGGTTTGGGGGGGTTTTGGGTTAATTTTGGGTAGGTTTAGGCTGGTTTTGGGTTATTTTTGGGGTGGCTTTGGGCTGATTTTGAGTTGGGTTTGAGTTGGTTTAGGCTGATTTGGGGCTGGTTAGAGCTGATTTGGGGTTATTTTTGGGTTGGTTTAGGCTGATTTGGGGTTATTTTGGAATTGGTTTCAGGTTGATTTGGGGTTATTTTTGGGTTGGTTTAGGCTGATTTGGGGTTATTTTGGAATTGGTTTCAGGTTGATTTGGGGTTATTTTTGGGTTGATTTGGGGTTTTTTTCGGGCTGCTTTCAGGCAGGTTCTGGGTCGATTCTGGCTGATTTTTGGGCTGGTTTCAGGCTGGATTTGGGGTTTTTTTGGGCGGTTTTTGAGCTGTTTTCCCTGCTGCCAACACTCACAAAATCCACACGGTCCTCGGCCAGCCAGTGGAAGCACTTGAGGAAGAGGAGGAGGGTGAAGAGGGCGACGAAGCGCGGGCTGAAGTCGTCCCTGAAGACGGTGAAGGCCAGGCAGGTCTCGGTCACCGCGTACCACGAGCGCTCCAGGAGGTGCTGAGGGACAGAGTCAGGGGCAGCCCCCCAGGCTGGACCCCAAAACGGGCCCAAAAACCCTGGGGGTTGAAAATTCACCCCAAAACGGGGCCCAAAAACCCTGGGAGTTCAAAATTCACCCCAAAACAGGACCCAAAAACCCTGGGAGTTCAAAACTCACCCCAAAACGGGGCCCAAAAACCCTGGGAGTTCAAAACTCACCCCAAAACGGGACCCAAAAACCCTGGGAGTTCAAAACTCACCCCAAAATGGGGCCCAAAAACCCTGGGGCTTCAAAATTCACCCCAAAACAGGACCCAAAAACCCTGGGGGTTGAAAACTCACCCCAAAATGGGGCCCAAAAACCCTGGGAGTTCAAAATTCACCCCAAAACGGGACCCAAAAACCCTGGGGGTTCAAAATTCACCAAAAAACAAGACCCAAAAACCCCGGGAATTCAAAGTTCACACCAAAACGCAGCCCAGACAATTTGGAAGTTCAAATTTCACCCCAAAATGGGACGTAGAAACCATGGAGGTTCAAAATTCACCCCAAAACGGGACCCAGAAAATCTGGAAGTTCAAAATTCACCCCAAAACTGGACCCAAAAACTCTGGCAGTTCAAAATTTGCACCAAAGATCTCTTGGGGTTCAAAATGCCCACCCAAAGTGGAACTGGGAGATTCTCAGGGTTCAAAATCCTGCCCTAAAATGCATCAATTCTTCCCCCAAACAGCATCAAAGACATTCTGGGGTCAAAAATTCTCCCTAAAACAGCAGCAAAGACATTCTGGGGTCAAAAATTCTCCCTAAATCAGGATCAAAGACCCTCTGGAGTCCAAAATCCCCCCTAAATCAGCCCAAAAACCCCTCTGGAGTCCAAAATCCCCCCTAAATCAGCCCAAAAACCCCTCTGGAGTCCAAAATCCCCCCTAAATCAGCCCAAAAACCCCTCTGGAGTCCAAAATCCCCCCTAAATCAGCCCAAAAACCCCTCTGGAGTCCAAAATCCCCCCTAAATCAGCCCAAAAGCCCCTCTGGACCAAAAACCCCTCTGGAGTTCAAAATCCCCCCTAAATCAGCCCAAAAGCCCCTCTGGAGTCCAAAATCCCCCCTAAATCAGCAAAAAAGCCCCTCTGGAGTCCAAAACCCCCCCTAAATCAGCCCAAAAGCCCCTCTGGAGTCCAAAGCTGCCCCCCAAATCTCTCACCTCCATCTCGGCCGCGCGCAGCTGCCCGAAGAAAACCTTGCCCATGAACTTGCCCAGCAGGAACACCAGCACAAAAGCCTGGATGTACAACACCTGCAGGGCCAGGAGAGCCCAAAAAGCGTTTTTGGGGACAGCCTGGGGGGGATCTGGTACCCCAAACCCACGCCGGGGGGGACGGGTGGGGTGGAACTGCTGTCCCCAGGGGGGTTCGGGAGCTCCTCAACCGCTGCGCCCCCAAAAAGCAGAAGTGAGGCAGCGTGGGCAGGTTAACGAGGGGTTAATTAGGGGTAATTAAGGAGGAAGAAAGCACTCACGGCCATGCTGGGGCTGGACTTGGTGAGGTACACCACGGTGGGGTAGAACTGGTGCTTCAGGTAGTAGGCGTGGGCCACCACGGCCGTGGTGAGCGCCAGGCTGCCGGCCATGACCAGCGCCGTGCACAGCATGGCCTCGGCCTGCAACCCAAAAATACCCAAAAATAACCTGGATTGAACCCCAAAAATAACCTGGATTGAACCCCAAAAGTAAACCCAAATTCAGCCATCAGGCTCCAGCCATGACCAGCGCCGTGCACAGCATGGCCTCGGCCTGGAACCCAAAAATACCCAAAATAATCCACATTTCACCCCAAAAATAACCTGGATTGAACCCCAAAAATAAACCCAAAATCAGCCATCAGGCTCCTGCCATGACCAGCGCCGTGCACAGCATGGCCTCGGCCTGCAACCCAAAAATACCCAAAAATAACCTGGATTGAACCCCAAAAATAACCTGGATTGAACCCCAAAAATAACCTGGATTGAACCCCAAAAATAACCTGGATTGAACCCCAAAAACAAACCCAAATTCAGCCATCAGGCTCCCGCCATGCACAGCATGGCCTTGGCCTGGAACAGCCAAAAATGGGGATTTAATAATCCAAATCAATCCACATTTCACCCCAAAAATAACCCCAAAATCAGGGCTCAGGCTCCTGCTGCCACACCCAGCACAGCCTCAGCCTGGAGCCCCAAAAAGCAGGGGTTTCACCCCAAAAAGGAGGGATTTCTCCCAAAAAGGATGGATTTCTCCCCAAAAAGAAAGGATTTCACCCCAAAAGCAGGGGTTTCACCCCAAAAAGAAAGGATTTCACCCCAAAAAGCAGGAATTTCTCCCCAAAAAGCAGGGGTTTCACCCCAAAAGCAGGGGTTTCTCCCCAAAAAGCAGGGGTTTCACCCCAAAAGCAGGGGTTTCACCCCAAAAAGAAAGGATTTCACCCCAAAAGCATCCCCGTGTCCCCCCACGGTTTGAAGCTGGCCCAAAGGTGATTATTTTTTCTGCTCGTTAACGATTCCTGGCAGCGATAAAATGAGATCTTTCCCAGCTCTCGGTCCCCGCTGGCAGCGCTGGCTCCTGTTCCACACTGGGGTGGCACCTGGTGTCCCCCCCGGTGGCACCTGCGTGGCACCAGCTCCGCCAGGAGCCCTCCGTGTCCCTCTGTCCCCTCCCTGTCCCTCTGTCCCCTCCGTGTCCCTCTGTCCCCTCCGTGTCCCTCTGTCCCCTCCCTGTCCCTCTGTCCCCCCCATGTCCCTCTGTCCCCTCACAATGTCCCCAAATCCTCCAGGTCCCCTCACGCCCCTCTGTCCCCTCAGGGCTCCAGATCCCCTCACGCCCCTCTGTCCCCGCAATGCCCCCAAACTCTCAGCTCCCCCCACGTCTGTCTGTCCCCTCCGTGTCCGTCTGTCCCCTCCCTGTCCCCCCTCAATGTCCCCAAACCCTCAGGTACTCCTCAGCCCCCCCCATCCCCCCTCACATCCGCCTCCCCTCCTCCACAGGAACCCCCAACTGTCACCGCTCCCTCAGCTTGCCCCGAGCGCCCCCCTTGCCTGCGGCTCCCCCCCCCCCCCCCCC